GCGGGCCCCCGGCGCCTGCCGCCGCTGCGGCGGGCCTCCCGAGCGGGGGCCGGGGGCAGGCGAAGTTAGCTGCTTCCTTGGCATGAGACGGTGGCCTTCGGAACAGAGGACGGAGAAACCCGCCCCCCGCCGCCTTTCTCTTTTTTCCTGTCGGGGTCTGAGTGAGCGGCACGCACAGCCCAGCGTTCGGTTCGGCCCAGCGTTGCTCGGCTCTTCCCCGCACGCAGCTGGCTATGGGGGATGAGCCGCCTGCGACAGAAAAGAGGAGGAAGAAAGGAAAGGGCAGGGATAAAGCTTGCTCTGAAATCTTTCTCCAGGTGGAAAATGAGGAGAGCTTTGTATACGCTCCGACTTTGTCCAGAATGAGGCCCTTTAGACTAGTAAAGACTTCAGAGGCATTTGGGGGCTTCTGCCCCCTTTGTGCTGCACTACTTTCCCAGCAGCACTGTCGTAAAGTATTTCATTAAAAGCTCATGTCTCTGCACCAAAATGAGTTAGTGGCCTTGGTGGGCTTTATTTTATTTTGGTTTATTTTTCCCCCTCGAATCTTGTTGAGCTGTAGGAAAGTCTTCCCTTCCTTCCCTCCCCCCAAAAAAGGAAACGTCAAACAAAGTACTTCATATCAAATTAAACATGGCACTGAATATACTCTCACAAGTCACAGTAGTAAATTCAAGTTCCAAACAACAACTAGATGGAAGAGCCCGTGAACAGCAATGATTCGAAAAAATCCAGTACACAGATTTAGTTTAAGTCAAGGAAACGCTGAAAATGAGGCCCTAAGGATCATCCATCTCCTATAATAGATGCTTCTGAATTCTGTTTATTGAAAGAAAGAAATTTTAATTTAGGCATTCCAGCACTTGCAAAGTGTACGTATGACAGAGCTGAAACCAGGTGAGGAATTGTACGTTGTTTGAGGGTCTCAGAGGATACAATGAACTGTGGAGACGAAGACTTTTTAAAATTCCTGGCAGTGCCTGGAAAATCCACTGTAGTATTTGTAAGTTTAAATTATTTTGATGGTTAGAAATGTCTGCTTCCTTTGAACTGTTCTTTTCAGCTTAATTTAAAAATAGATAGAAACCATGGGGAGGAAAATCAGCTTCTCTATGGCAAGATTAGATAAAGAGGCATTTATAACAGGCCCATGTCTGTGACCAAAGGTTCTGCAAGATTTGATTCTTAGCTTGGAGGTGTTTTCCTCCTGGTCCTCACCCAGCCACCTCCCTCCAAAAAAAAAAAGGGGGGGGGGGAGAAAAAGGAAAACCACAAGTCAACGAGAGCAGTAAAACCCCCAGGTCGCTCCAGCAGCAGAGTGCAGTTCCCGTGCGCAGCAGAGGATGGCCTTGTCGGGCAGCGCTGCGCGTTTCTTGCTGTCCCCTCCACACCGCCTGCCTCAGTGCTGTATTCGTGCCACAAATGGGTTCGGTCCCGATGTTCACCGGCCAGCAAGGACTCATATTATTTGTGGCAGACAACTCTGCTCCCCCTGCTCAGGACAGTGGCCGAGCACTGCCGAGCATCCCCGCCACTGCCCCAGGTCACCTCCCTCTCCTGAAATTTGCCAGGAACAAAGCGTGGTCCCTGGCCTCCTTCAACTCTGCAGATTTTCAATCAAATTGCAGCTGTCATGGTTTACATTTGTTGTAGTGCTTTTCCTCAGATAAATTTAGCTCTGAAATAAAGCTCTAAATCCCATACCCCAAGGCATGGACAATTTGAGCTGTTTGTTGCTCACTGCAAATATGAAAACGGCTGAAGCATTGCTCTTGTGTGTGTATGCACACACACAGAGGCAAACAAATATATTCATAATAAAAACCACTTACAAGTAGGCAGGGTTTAGCTGAAAAGAACTGCCAGTACTTGCAATAGCAATGTTAAATGATGTTCCCTGTTTGAATCCAGTATTACAAGGAAAGACCAGTTTGAAATTGGATTTGATTCTGGACGCAGGAGAGGAGGGTAATTTGTAACACGCTATGTTATTACCCCAAACTAAACTGAGAGTCAGTAGAATGAAATCATTGGCATATACTTCAATTTTTGTTTAAAATGTGTACTGAAAAATAGCTCATTTACTTGTGTCTTTCATGTTGTCCAAGCTTTTCTGGGACTATATATATATATATATATGTATGTATTTTTTCATTCCTGGGCTTGATTGGTTGTTGGTGACAGATGTGACTTGTGTTCTCCACTTCTGTTAAGCAGGAGGGTTTTTAGTTTAGTAGGAAGCTAAGCACAGAAAGAGCTATTTGAGTAGGTATGTACCTCCTTAAATTTGCGCCTGTGCACATGCATAAAATTCAGGACCTCAAAAGCAGTGAGATGAGACACAGGGTTAAATACTGTGGTTCATCCTGCAAAGTCTGTGAATGCCTAGTATTTGTCAGTAAATACTGTCTTACTGACCTTCCCCCCACCCCGGCCCCGACCCCTTAACAAGTTTAGCATCCAACCCATTCCCTGTGTTTCTGAAGGGTAGCTTTGTGGCATGAGTGTGTCTTGCTGCTGTTTGTAAAGGTATATGCTGCTCAAACCTAGCGTCCCTTTTGGAGAGCAGGTAGTTATTCATGTTGGAGCTAGGTCTCATTAATTATTTGCTGTCTATGTAAAGCACTCTCCAATTATACCACCAGGTACCTGTTGTGAAGCTGCATTTATCTTTGCCTTCATTGTGCTTTTTCCATAGCAAATTCCCTTGCATCCCTCAGAGTTGCCATTTGTTCCTTGGTGCCTGATGTTTTACAACCTCCTGTCCTGATTTCTCCCAAACATCTTTGTATCATAAGTAATAGGTACTCTTTGACTTTCTGTTCTTCTACCTGACCATGTGGCCATAGCTGCAACAGTAAAGAAAGGCAGTGGGACATGCAGTCTAAGAAAGACTCTTTTTTTATTACTTTTTTAGGGGAATCTTCATTTTCTAAAACATTTATTGCAATGTCGTCATTATAAATCTTGTTCTCTTTTCCCATAGGATTTGCAAATAGAACGAGAGAGGACCGTGTACAATATTTCTGGTGGCTGCACAGCACTTGTGGTGGTGTATTTATTGGGGAAGCTTTACGTGGCAAATGCTGGTGATAGCAGGTGAGTAAGTGTGGTGTCTCCCCAACTATTCCTTCACCCCAAACTTCCCAGATCTCATGTTACCAACTTGCTTAGTTGCAAACAGTATCACAAGAGGATTCTGTTTCTTGGCTAGACACTTAACGGTTCTCAGGGAAATTAATGCAAATGGCAGTGATAAGCTTCCAGTGTCTTGTCAAGTGGTGGTTGCAATCAGGGAGGTTGACGACGCTTCTGGCCCCACCGCAGTTTCTGAATGGTTGCAGAGAAGTGGAAAGACACTAAAGAGCCGCTGAAACAGAAGAGATGCTGGGTGTGTAGTAGATTGTGTTTTGAACGCGGATAAAGTGACTGCATCTGGAACAGCTGGTAGTGCTGCACTGGTTCAAATGTCAAATGAGTCCTCATAGAGGGTAGCTGCAAACATGTTTGAGCAGACCACCTGTCTAGTCATCAGAACCACTAACTGCCCTAAATTTTAGCTCTTTTGCCATTAAATTAGAAATAATCATGTTTTCCTCTGCTCTTGTACTTGAAGTACAGTTGAGTCTCTTCCATTGAGCTGGCTAAATTGCTTTATTGTGTCTTAAAAGTGTGCTGTGTAAAATTGGCCATGCAGGACCTACTTCTGTATAGTTGAGATCTTTGCTCTTAAATGACTGGCTGCTTCTGGTTCCCCCAGGATTCCTTCTCTGCTTCTTGAGAGCAGCCTCAGCTCCACTGCAGCCTCTGACACCCTGTGGGAAGAAACTTGTTGACAGTGATCTTGAATTAGCCCAAGTGTCCACTATAGTTAAAGCCACTAAGTCTTCAGTAGGCTTTGAATGTTCATCAAGCTCATCAGAAACATCTCTTCAGAAAAGCAGGAAGAGCAGGAATTAGAAGGGAAGCCATTGGCAAGGCTGGGTCTTGTTTGAACCAGGACTCAGATTTTTCTACTCATTCCTTGCATCTTGTAGGTAACAAGGTCCCTCCAGATCCAAAATAGTTTGGTTTTGCACTTTCCAAATGGACCTCATGGAAACCTTCCGCATACTGAGGAGAATTCTCTGGATTCCCAAAATCTTTCTCTTTCAAATGAGCCCAATTCTAGATTTTCATAGCTCAAGAAAATAAAAGCTTTAAAGTGTAGAAGATGAGTTGGTCTGGGCCTCTCTCCTGCCAAGTCCCCACCTCCCATGTTTCAAGAAAGGGAGAAAACCAGCTATTTCAAAACATCTAAGTTGTTCCTCATCACTAAAAGGACATTTTAGGAGTAGAAAAGCAGCTCTGAGGTTGTCCGCCTACTGCCAGGGTGCACACTGCATTCCTGTATTTTTAAGAGCCCAGTCATGTAGCCAAGAAGTTTTATTCATGTTCGTTGGAAAAATATGTTCCTTTTTGCTGTCTCATGCCTTGCGTGGTCAACTTCGTGGTTTGTACAGATACAAAGGAGGGCAGTGAGAAATACAATAAGGAAACTACTTAAAAAAATGTTTGTCTGCTCTTGAGAAGGGTGGGATTTGTTTTTTCACCCAAATGGGACTTGTGCTTGTTGCTGTTGGAATTAGATGCTGAAACCCTCGGTTCTTCAGCTGAGCTTTAGTTTCTTTGAGTTTACCTACTTGTTTGTGCCTCTTCTCTGTCCTCCTCCTCCCCTCTTTTCTTCCCCACTGGAAAAAGCCTACAAATAAATCAAGTTACATTTCCCACAGACTAGAGTCTGTGCAAGGAGGTTTTGTGCTGCAGGGGTGGGAAATAAACATTTTGTGTTCACGCAAACCTCGTTTGTTCTGTCTCTGCCCAGAAGAAGGTTAGGTCTTTTAATTCCAGGCAACTTCAAAACAGCAGGAGCTTTTAAAGGTGGGTTTTGAACAGCTTCTGCTGTCACAGGACCAAGGTATATGTAACAAACTGTTACTATCACAATGAGACTAAGGAAACGCCAAGTGTGAGACTTGAATAATAATGTGCTGTGCAGTGCCAGCTACACCTCAGACTTAAGGTCTGTGGTATTCAGTTTAACCACCAAAGCTTCTCAAATCTAATCATTTCATGCCACGTACCCTGGCAGTGTTGTATAGCAGCTGTCCTTTTGTAGTTGATGTGTAATTACATCATGAAAAGACTTTAATTACCATATTACTAAATTACCAGCCAGCAATCCTTTCAGGTTCAGCCCTAGCTCACTTCTATATGGACTATTAGGCTTCTCCAAGCTGAACACTTTCGGTTCATGTAAAAGGGAGGGAAAATTGTGCTAATTGTAGGTTTTGTTATGAACTATTACTGAGCTTGATGTTATGGCATCGCTAATGTCAATGATATAACTAAACTTCTGCTAACGATGCAATCACAGTTCTGTAATAATTATACGTTAACTGCACATGATACCAGAACCCTCCTAAAAATGAGGTGATGTATTCAGAGCCTGATAAAAACAACTCGGAGGGAGCAGCTTTCATTCTCTAATGGCTTGTCTGATCATTCGTGGACTCTGCCATAAATATACCTACTTGTACAGTCAAAATTCATGTCTGAATATTGGCCAAAGCTTTTTCTAATGTTTCTCTCTCTCTCTCTCTTTGCCTAAGTGGTTAGCATTGTCCACGCAAAGTTACCTAATTAGGGACTGATAGTGCTATAGTCAGCTATCCAATATACAGTGCTTTTCTGGTGAGCATTGAGGTGCTGTGCTTTGCTTACCAGTTTTGACATATACACTATGGCAACTAGGCCAGGCTCTCAGAATAGCTGCTTTTTTTTTTTTTTTAAATGAGGAATAGTAAATCTTCTCTGCTCATTCTTTTAAATAGTATTGTTCAATTTTATATTGCTAAAGTGACTTTTACTTCTAAACTGCCATAACATGCCTTGTTAATCTCAGTTCTTTTTAGTTTTATGCTCATTATTAGGATGTTGTTTTATAGCTAGTGGTGAAGCAGTAGTAAAACAGGGACTCAATGTTTTTACTGATTACTGCACAATTATTGTATAGCCTCATGCAACATAATATTTGCCCAATATCACTACAGTGACTGTAATGCAATATGATCATGTTGACTATCTTTGGCACAAGTGTTCTTCTGGCTTTCATGTTGTCTGGCTAAGGATCTGCTCAGAGATTGCAGGCACTGCCATTTTATGCTGTGCTTGGAGCCACGTAGGGTAGCTGTGCTTTTATCATTATATTAGAAGCAGAACACCGCAAGTTGATTTGACTTTTCCATAGGCCCTGAAACACTCACTAAATCTGCACATGGGTTCTTGGGCTTTTTTGATTTATTGGCAGAACACGGGATGAAAGCTAAGAGCCTGATGCTTTGGAGGCTTCACAGACTTGCAGGGTCACTGGCTTTTTTGCTTTGCTTCATCAGCTTTTTTTATCATCTTTTTGCCTCCTTGCTTTTGTTCCCCTGTGCTTATGTTTTCAGGGCATATTCATCCTCTGCTAGAACATATGTCCTCATGTCCAGAATAGATTTTCTCCTCCTTTTTGCAAGTGTAGAATCAATGCTGAGGCAATTGGGATTGTTAAATGACAGGAGCTCATTGAGTGAATGTTTTTGTGTCGCTTCTGTGTGGGTGCACATTAAGCAACTTCACTGGTGCTTCAGGTTCCCAGATGTGGGAGAATGTGTTTATAACACTGACTGTGCCCAGTGTAATAAAATAGTAAATTGAAAATTGAATTCTATTTTGTTTACTGTTTCAGTTCTTTCTGGATTTGCTGCTAGTGTTGAATCTCACTACATTCATACTTCCTCGTCTTCTGTGTCATGGTGCTTGTCAGCTGCTTCACTCATGCATACTTCTCCTTGTAGGAAGTCAAATTTGGGGGATTAATCTGCTTTTATGAAGTAAATGAGAGAGGCATGGAAACAGCCACGTATTTGCTGACTGGCACTGTAGCTTAAATAGAATTTCTGAGAAGTCAGAATTGATGATTCTGACTATTTTTGTGGTTCATGGTATCTGACCTCTTCCTCAAGGCAGTCCAGCAGGGTGATTTTTGCCAGAAGCACAAACACTGTGTAAGGATGGAAACCAAAAAGTGTTCTAGTATATTACTATTGTAGAACTAGTTTGCTTTGGTCTTTGGTTTACAGCATTTTTCAGAAACTTTAATTTTCTGATTTTCTTAACTACCTATCTTCTAATCTAAATGTGGTATATTTTCCCTGTTCTCCTTGAGTGGTCTGCCTAAGCCTTGTCTGTCTCCTTACATCTGTGTCTGCATAAACAACAATAACTGTGCTTCATACTTAGTACTCAGAGGTCTCTAGAGGAAAGACTAACTCAGTTACTAAGCTTCTCCAGTCTGCAGTATTTGGAAAAATGGTCTTTTTCCTGTCTCCTCCTAAAGATGGGACAAAAAGAGCTGCAAACCTCTGAACCACACGCAGGGCCTTTTCACCCTGGGACCACACAATCTGTGGTGACTCCTCTTTGTCCTCTGAAGTTCTCATTCCTCCAAATACTCAAAAGATGCCTCCCAAGAGGTGAGAGCAACATTTATGGATTGTATTTTCGCCACTCTTATGTGCACATCCCCTTTTTAGATTATTATTCATTCTTTGATGTAATCACTTGAAAATAATAAATGTTCGATCATTTCAGGGCAACAGATGACCTAAGCCTGGTCTGCTCAGGAGCCTATATAGTGAGGAGAGACTGAATTCAAGACAAAGTGAGCCTCTCCCACACACATTCTCCTTCACTGACTGCAGTTTGATAGGTGGAGAGGTCTGATCCTGCCTAGCCAAAAATGTTGGAAAAAAGCATGGCATCTTAGTCACACTCAGGGGATACGGCCAAGTCCCATCTCTCTGTTTCCCCTGCTTATTTTCCTTAGAAGCCTAACTTGCAGGCCTGCAGAAAGCACTTCTGCTTCCCTTCTCCTGCCTGGCCTCCTTCCAGGGAGAAGCAAGAGCACAGAATTTGTAGGAATAGCAGCAACCTCGGATATTGCAGGATTTTGTGCTGGGTAAAGCTTTTGGAGGCACTTCAGGAAACATTTTAAGTGAGGTGTGGAGAAAAGG